TACGAATTTCTGTTTTTTTTTTGAATAACTACGGTTTAGCAATGTCAATTATGACCTTTTCTACATTTTTGAAATCAGAATTAAAAACTCTATCGATTTGCGCAAAAAATCAATATGGCGTCTATAAGAAAAAATAAACTTGATGCTGGAGGACAAGAGACGAAACATCATAATGAAATTCTAAGTATGCCGTCATGTAGAGGAGAAAAAGTCGCAATGTCAACATGCAGTTTTATGGAATCCCACCTTAAATAAATCCAAGAAAAAATAAAACTGATTTTGGAATATATCAGATATGCCAAACAAATGACCATCTAATAATTTCAAGGCCTACCTAGGAAATTCTACTTTTTTGAAAAAATTAAGGTTTGGCAATATCAATGTGTTAATCTGTGCGAAAATTCAAAATGGCGTCCATAAGAAAAAATAATGTTGTCGCTGGAGGACAAGAACGAAACGTCAAATTGAAATTCTAATTATCCATCTTGTAGAGAAGAAAAAGTGGCCATGTTATTATGGGATTTGGTTTGAAACCCTATACAAGTAGTGTCAGGAAAAAATTAAAACTATTTTGGGAAAATTTGTTTTTTTGCGTTTCTCTCCTGAAGTACTTTGAGGTTCGAAACTTTCTAAGCGGCATTTTAATGTATTACCGAAATACGCAACTTTGCTCTCGTTTAAACGACTTCGTATCTCTTGCAGTTTCCTTGATATCCTAATGGTGAAGGTCGAATTTGAAACACCCTGTATAAATGTTTGATAATAGAGAAAGATGTCTCAACCAGCACCGTATATTGAAAATGGTAAAGTGTATCGTTGCTGACACTAAGTTGACTTCGTCAAAATGGAGACATCATGAGAGTCTAGCGCACCGTGCATCCATCAAAGTACCATATTTATGTGCTTCTTCTTGGTTAAGCTCCTTATATCCCAGAAACATGAAGCTATACAATATTACTGCGTCTCCAGGCAGCCATGGATTCCAGATTCTTCGTTAGGAAAAAGTCTTCTATTTCTCGGCTGAACTGGTGATGCCAGTAAGGAGGCCAACCTAGCATTCTAAATCCCCGGATGTAAAGTGCTGTCATTCGATAAGCTGTAGATTGAATTTATGAAGTAGCAAAGGAAGCTGTTAATATTAATGTAACAACACCAACAATAGCCTAGCTATGGTAGCATCATGCTTTGGTGTGTCATATTTTCTTTTCCTTCGATTTCGGTAAATGTATTGAGGTAAAATAAACTCGTTTAAACATCCAGCACGTTACGTCTATGTTAAAGGGATTACTTAGGCACCGGCAGCGTCGACCGCCTGGTTGGTTGGTAGAACTTCAAAGCGGCTTTTTGCATGCTGGACTCCTTTGAGGCATTACGAATTGAACACAACTTCATCGGTTTCTGCTGCTGTGACTAGCTTGGGGGGCTTTTTGTGCCTTTTGCGGTCACCAGGGACGGCGACGATTAGTAACTTAATGCTTTCTGAACACCTAACAAAGGGAATACTGTAGAGCTTGTCTGAATGTCTTAATGGGTAGTTACCGAGACTTTTGGAAGTTCTGCAGCTTTTTTAGACCGCAAATGATAATTTTCTAGCGTTCTCTTATTAGTAGTGGTGGTGGGGAGGCGAAGCTTTTTGCTGACCCCCACTCTACCAACAATCTGCCCCTCATGCTTATCCATTAATTTATCGAATGTTCTTGGTCTCTTAATGAAGATCAGGATGTCCGAAAGTGGAACGCCTCTTGTTTTACTTCCAGCCCATATGGCAGATGAAATATCTTTTTGTCCTTAGAAGGGACAAGTGACTGTTAGTCTACAGTGGCGGATGAGAAACCCCACCAAAAGTTGGTGCGAGATCCGCCCAGTAGCCGGCGCGTATGTCTGTCGAGACCCACAATGAATCTCTTAGCCTGCTTCTTTGGATCGGGCTGAACTCTGAAGATCAGTAGCGCATTCTTGAACTACAGGTACACTTGTCCTCGGACATGCTACTGCCTTCAGGGCTGCTTGACTGTCGGAACATATAAATATGCTTCGCCCAGTGCACAGTTGAAACTTCCCTAAGTACGATTTCTTAGGGCCACATCGTCAGTCGTTCCCACAATTTATTGTAGGACACCTTTCTGGTTTCCTTGATTTCCATAGTATTTTCGCTTCTTCAGACAGGCTGGGAGAGATATTTCTAGATTTCTACTACTCCATGTCAGCGTCAGCGGTCTCCTATTGTGAGGCTACGTTTTCTTTTTGAATTGTAGGAAATTTTAGGTTGATATAACAGATGATATAAATCAAAAGCATGAACAATTTGTTGTGAATATATATTTGTAACATACCCTCAAAATAGAGCGCTGACATGGAACAGTAGAAAACTATGAAAATAAAGGAGGCCATAAAGGCGTCCTACAATTGTAGGAACGACTGACGATACTGCTCTTAGTAAGCAATATTTAATATAATAAACATGATATCAAGCCCGGTGATGTAGTGGTTAACGCTGTGCGTCTACTAACTATTGGCGTGTTAAGATTGTCCGTAGGCTAAAGACGATCTCAGACCATTCATTGGATGGATCTCTGAGGTGGGGCTAGAATGTGTGGATGTCACCATGTACACGTGTTTACCCACTAGAGAATGTGACTAACAAAGGGAATACTTAAAAGTGGCTTTGACGCCTTGAGAGGTATGCCACTCTACCCAGGCTTAGTTCAGGCCTTTGCGAGTTTTGTGACTCTTTTATGCAATATCATTATTCCAAACAAATAAACTATTGATGAGCAAGGATAATTATTTTCTAGGTATTCTTTTGGTAAGAATAGATTAATGAAAGAAATACAACTAGCTACTATACTTGCTGCATAAAACAAATGTACTTGTGCCAAATAGGTTGACCCTGCATTTCCCACGTAACGCTGACAAGAGTTCATAAAAGGTTATGTTTGGCACAGGTTAGCGTCTATTACGCCCGATTTTACTGTTGATCCGAGGAAATCAAAACTTGCGCCTATGGCACAAATTAAACCGATCATAAGACGTTTTTGATATAATGGATCTAAAGTATATGGTCGGCTTCATCTAAAATATCTCTCAAACTAGAGAAAAATATACGATTTGTTTACAGCGGGCCCTTAATTCTCATATTAAATCAAAAAATACTTCATAAATCACCTGGTTTAGCTACAAAAACATATTTTTTTTATTTGAGGCCGCACACCAAGTTTGCGGCTATGGCACAAACTCCACCAATCAGAAACAAGTTTACTTGGTAAATAATATAACCAAATGAAAAATAAATCTAAATACCTTCGAAAATTGAAAAAAGGATATATCGACTGTTAATTATGTGAATATTTCAATAATTTTTTACTGAACTTCCATTGTAAACGTAGTTTTCTCTTTATGTTGGGAATAATATGCAAAATAAATAGATCCTGGTAGCGATATCTGGTAAGCAGCAGTAAAATATAGGGATACCTATATTAGCATGGATTTTCTGTATTATAGCAGTCAAATTAGATCGTTGATTTTTATCATTGCAATACAATATTCTACTTGATCAATTCTGTAAAAAAGATATAAATGTGTTAGCGATGATTAAGTCATCAGATTCATATTTACCATCTACATTCAGGCAAATATTGGACTTGGATTTGTTTACCTGTTTGCCCGTTTTTTCATTCACAAATGACCAAACTTGTTTCGCTTTATTGTTTGCTCCTAAAAGTTTGTCGCTATAGCCTTTTTTGTGTTTTCTATAAGATGTCTATATTTCTGTTTATATATATATATATATATGTGTGATGAGTTTGTTCGGAAGGATATATTGTCGATAGCCAATAAAGATCTTTAAGGTACTTACTCAGACGCAAAACAGCTTCATTGATCCATTCATATTTGTACTTTTTTGCTTTATTGGTGTGATCGGTGTGTCGTATAGTCTGTAGTGGACAACTCATATCGTAACACTAAATGAGGGAGTTAACGAGAAATTCAAAACCTCAATTGACATCCATATTATACATTAGATACCATTTTGTTTGTGAGGTAAGATGTTTGTAATAATTAATCCCATTTTCACTAATAAGCCTTTTGGTGTACGTTATAGTATTTTTGCTGTTATCTTGATTATATGACATTTCAAGTAAGTGGGCGTAATGGTCAGCTAGAATAGGATCAAATACTTCACAATTTATTTGATTATCCGGATAGTCGATAGCTGTTGAACTAACATGAGATTTTTTGTTTGTAAATACTCTTGTTGGTTTTCTAGTAGTAATACGACTTGGTCAAAAGAGTCTAATGTGTCAATCAGAAGCTTGATATCTAGCCCTTTTTTTAAGAGGTCAATGTTGAAGTCACCACAGAGTATAATCTTTTTAGAAAAGTTACTAGCAATGATTAGGATTTCCGTCAATTTTTTTAAAAATACATGTAGGTTTCCACTGGGGGGCCTATAAATTGTCAATACAGCCAATTTTGGCATGGGGTTACTTATTACGATGCCGGACATTTCAATGTCTCTTTCAATAGATAAAATATTGGTTTGTTTTATTTCGCTACAGCTTATACAAGACCTAGTGACGATGGCAGATCCATAATTTTTGTGTAGTTCCCTACTAAAACTGGAGACTATGTTATAGCCAATAAGTGTGATATTTTCTAAGTTGTTCGTAAGGTGGTGTTCAGTTATCGCTAGTATATCTATATTCTGACTTTATAAATTAAATCTCAATTTGGTTAAGCTTGGTAATAATACCTTGGACATTAACATGACAGCATCTCAGTTTATTGACCAGTTCTGTTTGCATTAAGTCGAAACAATCGAAAAGTTTTTACTAGAATCTCATTTGGCCAATTAGCACTATTCTGCCAGATCATGATCAGCAAATATTTTAAAAGATTCAGTCTGAACATTCTTCCACCTAGGCAATTTGTTCACCTCGAATAGTCTGTCGAAGAGACCGAATGTCCTCTACTGATGTATCTGGTGCAGCTCGACCTACGTACATCCATATTTTCATGGGTATAGCTCTCAACCCATCACTGGCTGTAGACGTTGCCATTCCAAAAACGACTAAGCGTTTGGCTGTGCTCGTCGAATGTAAACGAGGTCCAGTTCTTGCCACATCCTCGACTTGTTGGTCTTGTTTAGGTTGTTTTTCTTTTATGCTTTGTGTCTTCGCCGTTTGTCTAAAATCTGCAGGGGTATCGCTATCAGATACTTGTTGTTTACTTAACTGTAGTGTTGCATTTTTAGAGTGTGTGTATTAGGGATTTGGAAAATTAGTGTCACGTGAAGGGTCATTTGATAGGGTTTTAAGTAGTCTTGAGAGCTTTTCTTAAAATTTCTCAAAAATAGTTGAGAGATCCTTCGACAAGGTTTCATATAAGCTATTGTATAGCCCATTATGTACTTCATCAGTAGTGTCATAGGATCATATAGGGGTAGAATTGCTGCTTCTATTTTTTAATCCCTTTTTGAGTGCCTTACTCTCATTACTATACGTGTTGTTTTCCTCAGTTAGAGCGTCAATAATTACCAACATGTTCCTTCGCATGTTTTCTTGTTGTGCCAATTTTCCGTTTAATTTTTGATCATGGACTCATGATTCTTCAATTCAGCTTCTTTAAGTTTATGTTTAAGTTCAAGTGTTTCTTTATACAGTCCTTCAATAAAACTACGTTGCTCTTGAATTTTAGTTTCGTAGCATTTTTCAGCATCTGTTACTTCATCCTCCATTGTTTAATTAATTCTGTATCTTGGGATTAAGATCCTCAATACGGTTGTTCAGTGTTAATACAGTTTTTCACAAGTTGATCGCGGCTTTTATTCATCTCAGCCGTTACCTTACTCACCCTTGATTATAAAGAGTCTTCCCAGGAACACCTGTTACAAGGCTGGCATGTATTTCCATTCTTTAGTTAACTCGCATTTTTCCATATTAAGTCAAAAAATGGATATATTCAACTTTATTCCAACGAAATTAGAGAAACAAATCAGTCTCATATGTGTAGTTGTCAACCCTGTAAATATTTTTTATGTATGGCCAATTTAACAAGTTTGCGTATAGCGAAAAAAGAGCCATTTATAAGTACTTAAACTATAAGATTTAAGTTTGTCAATAAAAAAAGGGAGTCCGTAAAATTGAATTGAATTTTTATGTTCTTATAATATTTTTGGGAGATTCAGATCTGCAGTTGATAATAGTGGTAACTAAAGGAGCCTTTAAAGGTTATGGAGCTTTAACCGTTCAAGTCCAATTTTTATATTTTTTCGTTACATTGCCTCCGAAATACTAACAGATTCCATCTTCAACATCTGTTTTCAGACTGATAACTGCAAATTTGAAATAAGAGACATGGTGTCAAACAGTTTGACTCTACACTTCCCACGCAATGCTATCGTCATTTCATAAAGGGTTATGTTCTGCACAATTATCCCTCTGAGAAACATGTAAGCTACAAATATGAATAACAAAAGAATTCGATGGACCGACTCAGTTGAAAAGGCCTATACAATTAATGCATAGTCCCAAAACATTTGACAACGATGTGATCTAGAAATTTCTTCTGCTTCCATACCGACAGTACCGACCACCTGGCAACGCTTCTGCGAATAACCGCAGCACTTGCCAACCGAGCACGGGGTTCGGCGTTGCCGTCACCCATCGGTCATCGCTCGAATCAGCTATATGCTCGTTCGCTTAGTTGCGTGGGAGACGCGTATCAAAAATATTTCTCAATCAAGTTTTAAGGGTAAATATACGATGTACGAGGAAAATTATGATGTATGAAATATGTGTAATAGGTGCATATAATTATCGTGGTTGGAACCGTATGAATACACTAACGACAAAAAATTAAGGTATACTCTCTCTTACTCCCTACATCGTCCAACCCACAATTACACATTTTTTTTCTGAAAATGATTAGGTACCTCTGAAACCTCATTGTATTTCATCAAAATCCAAGAGGTATTTTCTAAGCTATACCATCTTTTAGGGAAGCGAAATCGCCCAGTAATATAGGTAAACCGTTACAATACAATTCGCATTTCAAACTCAGTGCGAAATATCTCAGAAGAGTTAAAAAACATTCCTTCCGTCCAACTAAGCTTCTTTTATTAAGTTGATGTTTCTTGAAATTAAACTCGCAAAGATACCTCCTGCAGTAGATCTAAAAAAAACTCAGTGACAATAAATAAAGCAGTCAGTAAACTGGTTTTATTTGAATGGAATTTTGTATACAGTTAGAAATAGGTAAGAGGGTGTTGTGATTTAATCTTGAAGTGAAAACATTGGCTGTATTGCTGGATTTGTGGTCAGAGCATGCTTCTAGGGTGTGTGTTCATGACTTCTTGAGGTATATCATCGAAGGCTACTTTATTTGGTCCCGAAGAGCTGCTACCGTCTGTGGGGATGAGGTTGAGAAGTAACACTTCCTTCAACAAATCTCGCACATGTTTAAAGGCAAGCTTAACACTATTTTCAAAATTCATTTATTCGTGTGACTACACAAATATTGTGATCACAATGAATTGTCATCAGATACATTTGGATACAAGGTAATATTAGCCAGTACCAGCACTATGCAGTACAAACAGGGATCTTCGGATGTTCTATGAAGTTTCAGTAAGGAATTCCTCGATAGAATAATATGCCTTGTTCAGAAGTCACTCAACAACTTTTTGAATATACGTAGATTTAGATCCCTGTAATTGGAGTTTAATGTGTTTGCTGTAGCCACTGGCGTTGGGTCTTATCAGATTCATTACGTTTCTAATGAGAAACATAATTTTTAGTTGTTTTATTAGTCAAATAGTCTACATTAAGTTGAGCTTCCAACACAATCCACTTAAATTTTACATTCTTGTCAATATTATCGATCAGGTTTATATACCGCTAATAAAGGCCGGGAACAGAACGGGACATAGAACAGAGCCCTGTGGTACACCACAAATGACATTCGCAATGGTTGGTTTTTCTCATTTTATTCTTGGATATACCGCTGCGCCATCATTCCTACTCTACTGAAAACCTCAGTAATTAGCACTGTATATATGGTTTGTTCGTACAGTAGTCGGTAACTGGTCGGTGTCAAAATCAGAATCAGAGGGATGTTACCTGTTCGTTCAGTTTCTGACTGTTTGCCGACAGCTAATCCGCTGTTCGTGCAGAACCTTCTGATAGATCAGAGGTCACCAGTCAACCAGTGACAGTGACAGGTATCACAGTGTGTCGAAACTATCTTGAGGACTAAAACTGCTTCGCAAGAGGCATTTAATGATCGATTACTCTTTTCTAATGGACGGTCTGGTTACACCTTCGCACCGACAGGACGTTGGCGATCTAGCTACGCCAACGGGCTTTGCTCCTCAGAGCTCTCTTCCATGGTGTCACCCCGCGATGTGCCTACCTGACTTCGGCCTCTCATCGTAAGCGTGGCGAACTTCGTACATCTAGAACTAGCCGATAAGACCGCTCCTTTGTCCCAAGGGTGTCGAGATCGTGCAACAGTCTACATGAGGGGATTTTCCCGGTTCTACTAACTTTAGGCAGTTCAAAAATGGGAATAACAAAGTTTCTTTAAGCTCCTGAAAGCAGCCGCGTTGCCTTGGCATGTAAGGTTCATCTACGTGGCTGCTTCGGTCTAAAAAAATGAAACCCAAAAACCTTAATTTTGTAGAGAAAACAGGGCCACAATTCAACAGAAACAAGTTTTTGTAACAATTTCAGGTGAGCATGTGGCAGAAGAAATTTTAATGAAATTCCATTTTAAATATCAGCCAGCGCCAAAGTGCTTTGTGCTCAATATTTTGTTTATTGTCCCGGTAATGGCAGATTATGAATACAGTATGAAAAATCCGAACAATAGAGGACGTACCTTTCAAGAACCATAATTAATACGATTTTTGTGATCACTAATCTTTTGAAAATTTTTGATAAAGTTACAAAATGCGTAATTACGCGATTTAAGTCTTACTTCCATGTATTTTCGTAGTCTCAGTTCTTTTGTCCATGTTGAGAGCTCTGTAAAACTTATAGCTATGATGATTTTAGTCATGTTCAGCCGTTTTAGCTTTTTAGTGTATAACACCCTTCATTATTCAATGACGTTATTAAATCCTTGTAGTATTTTCACTTCTTTCCTCTAGTAAGAGTCTGCATATACAGGGTGTTTCTAATTTGGCCCTCACCATTGGGATCTTGGAAACTGTAAGGGATACGAAGTCGCTCAAATTGGGTAGTCAACAAAGTGACACTTAGAAGGTTTCGAAATTCAAAGTACGTCCTTAGAGTAACGGAAAAACTGAATTTTCCCAAAATTGTTCTGATTTTTTCCTGAATTTACTTATATTGGTATTTTAAAATAAATTGCACATTAGCGGTGCCGCGTTTTCTCCTCTACAAGAAGGCATAATCAGAATTTCTATATGACGGTTCGTCTCTTGACCTCCAGCGTCAACTCTATTTTTCTTAAGGACGCTATATTGCATTTTTGCACAGATGAATAGAGTTTTTAATTTTGATTCAAAAAATGCATAATACGTCATACATTGACGTTGTCAAACCATGATTACTTTAAGAAAAACAGAATTTCGTAGGTAGGCCTTGAAATTATCAGATGTGTGTTTCGATCACCAGGTTTATCCCAAAATCGCTCTATTTTTCCTTACTCAATTCGAGATGCGATTTCAAAATAAATTGCATATTGTCATTGTTACTTATTCTCGTCTTTCAACTTCCATCATCAAATTTGTTTTTTCATACGGACACTATATTGGAATTTTGTACATTTAAATGGACTTTTTAAGCCCTAAATTCAGTGACTGTTAGTTGACCATAAATTTGTTGTTGGATGAAAATTAAAAGGAGATAAAAAGATTTGGTGATACCTGAATACGAAATGAAAATTTTATTGATGGCAATAATAATAACCATAAATAAGCAGAGATATTCACAGTCTTCCAAAATCTGTTGCTATGCAAACAAATGAAATCTAATAATTTCAAGGCCTACCTAGGAACTTCTGGAATAACTAAGGTTTTGCAATGTCAATGTATGACATACATTTTTTAAATCAGAATAAAAATTCTATTCATGTGTATAAGAATCCAATATGGTGTCTATAAGAAAAATTTAAGTTGATGCTGGAGGACAAGAGACGAAACGACATATTGAAATTCTAATTGTGCCGTCTTGTAGAGGAGAAAATGTGGCAGGGATCATGTGCAATT